CGTGATATACATTTTTGGTCATACCGACCAGCACTAGTTTGAAGAGAGAGTGGGCTGGGTGTGAGGGGTCCAAAGTGATTTTTTTAGCCCTTTTCCTCACTCTGGAGATGTAAAGATCTTGGAGGCTGGGCAAAGGGGCACCAATAATACTCTCAGCTGTCCTGACGGTCCGTTGTAGTCTCTTGATGTCTGATTTTGTAGCTGAACCAAACCAGACAGTTATGGATGAACACAGGACAGACTCGATGGCAAAGTAGAACTGTTTTAGCAGCTCCTGTGGCAGGTTGAATTTCCTCAGCTGGCGAAGGAAGTACAACCTCTGCTGGGCCTTTGCAATGGAGTCTATTGGCGCTTTTCCACTGCGTGGTACGACTCGGCTCGGTACGGCTCAGTACGGTACGGCACTGCACTGCTCGGTTTGCATTTCCACTGCAGTTTAGTATCGCTTTAGAATGGGTGGGATTATTCACATGTCGTTATAGTTGCGCCGCCTCTACTGCCTAAAAAACCTTTTCATTCCGCGTCGCCCCATCAAGCTCTCGCTGGATCCGCTCCTCTGCTATCAACAAGAGGAACGTCTGTTCTTCCGCAACAGGGGGAACAGCCACATTTTGGTTGTTAAAAAAAGGTGCGCTCGTTCAAAACAGTTGCATTTGATCCTTCGCTGGCTGTGCTGATTTAAATCTAGCGGTTCTATTGTGTTTGTGTCGCAAGTTCAGTGACGCAGGTAGTGACGATTTTCTCTGGCCAGTCCGTGTTCAGCAGAGTTTACACGTCACGTTTTGGTAACTGTACGGTATGCTTGGAACCCCAACCGAGGTGGTACTAAAAAAGTACCAGGTCCAAGGTACTGTACCCAGTGGAAAACCCCCAAAAAGTGAACCGTACCGAGCCGTACCGTGCCGTACCATGCAGTGGAAAAGTGCCATATGTGAGTATCCCACTTCAGGTCCTGAGAGATGGTGGTGCCCAGGAACCTGAATGACTCCACTGCAGTGCTGTTCATGATAGTGAGTGGGGGGAGTGCAGGGGGTTTTCTCTTGAAGTCCACAATCATCTCCACAGTTTTGAGCATGTTAAGTTCCAGGTTGTTAAGACTGCACCAGACAGCCAGCTCTTTAACCTCCTGTCTGTAAGCAGACTCCTCTCCGTCCTTGATGAGGCCGATGACTGTAGTGTCGTCTGCGAACTTCAGGAGTTTGACAGAGGGGTCCTTTGAAGTGCAGTCATTCGTGTAGAGAGTGAAGAGCAGTGGGGAGAGCACACATCCCTGGGGGGCGCCAGTGCTGATGGTGATAGTCCTGGATGTGAGTTTGCCCAGCCTCACTAGCTGCTGCCTGTCTGTCAGGAAGCTGGTGATCCATTGACAGATGGAGGTGGGCACGGAGAGCTGTGTGAGTTTGTCTGAGAAAAGGTCAGGCATGATGGTATTAAAGGCCGAACTAAAGTCCACAAATAGGATCCTTGTGTAATTTCCAGGTCTGTCGAGGTGCTGCAGGATGTAATGCAGTCCCATGTTGACTGCATCATCCACAGACCTGTTTGCTCTGTAGGCAAACTGAAGAGGATCCAGCAAGGGTCCAGTGATGTCCTTCAGATAGGCCAGGACCAGTCTCTCAAGTGACTTCATGACCACAGAGGTGAGAGCGACAGGCCTGTAGTTGTTAAGTCCAGTGATTTTGGGCTTTTTGGGGACCGGAAACCTTTTGCTGACAGATAAAAGATATGTAAAACATTACAGTATGTAGTTTTCAGCACATTAACGTAATGGCATCAAGACTATCACTCTCATTTTTACAATTTAGATAACATTTTTTCCATATAAATAACATTGATGACAAATCAGCAGAATTCGCAACAATCAGAATCAGAATCAGAAGAGCTTTATTATCAAGTATGTTTACACACACATGGAATTTGACTTGACGGCAGGAGCTTCCAGTGCAGAAGAAAGTACAGACATAGTGCAGACATACATAGGAATAACACACAGCACAGACTTTTAAACAGGCAGGTGAAACACCATATTATGGGAGTTGCCATGTGTCCAAAGTACATGCGCTTTGTGGGTGATGTGTTTGTTTAGTCTGTATATAGTCTATGTATTTTAAAGGAGTGTTCAGTTGATCAGTATTGGACTTTACACTGCCGTTTTCTGTCGGCTGTCTTGTGTTTGTGTGTGACCATCCCAGTAATGACACACCATAAATCACTGTGTCAGCCGACTCTGTCAGAAATAACTGACTGGTGATTGAGGCTTATCTGTTGACATACTGTAATTTGGCCTCTGAAACATCTCTAGCTTCAGTGTTCAGCGAGATTGAAGCATTCAGACAGTCAGATGAAATTATCACTGCTTTTTAATGATGCTTTAATGTTGGACTGAAGAGTAAAGTTTATTTTCTGAAGATGCAGTCAGACCTGTAGTTTACATTTTCACTGGCCCAACCTCAAAGGAATAATCAGAAATGTTTATATTAAGTTACTTTTTACATTTTTACATATATATTTTTACTTTAAAAAATATTATATAATTCAAAAGTTAGGGTCAATAAATTTTTTTAAAGATTATTTTAAACTAAATGAATACTTAATAATAGAAAAGTGACAGTAAAGACCTTAACAGTGTAATAAACAAACAAAAAATCTATTGCAAATAAATGTTGTTCTTTTGAATTTTCTATTCATCAAAGTATCCTGGCAAGTAAGTAAGTAAATAAATAAATAAATAGATAAATAAATACAAATCACAGTTTACATAAACTTTAGCAGTACAACTTTTTAAAAAAAATTCAGATCTATCATCACAGGAATTAATTAAATTGTAATATATATATATATATATATAAAAAAAACATTTACTTTAAATTGTAAAAATATTTCACTAAATTATTATTTTTACTGTATTTGTGAGACTTTAAAAACATTTAAAAAAAGATCTTACTGACTCTTTATCACTGTATTTACAGTATCTTACCGTGAGTCTGCCTTTGGAGTATCTAATGGCCAGGTATGTGTCATGATCTTGGTTTCTGACTTCCACAGAGCAGCCTCCCAATTCAGTAGACCGGCCGTCTTTCCCGTGGTCGTACGGCAGGGAGCCGTTATTCACCATCGCAGAAATATAGGGAAATGAGCGCTGGAGGACCAAAGATTATGAATTACATTTATTACATTGATTTTTGCCTAATTGCTGACACAAAAAAGCAATGTAAATTACTAAAAGATGGCACATTCCACCCTTATACAGCGGTTCATGAACCAGCTTGTGTAAAACAGAATGATCTAAATTCATAAAAGGTCACTGCATTCTACTAAAATCAAAACAATAAGCACTGTAAATATTTTTTATGAAATGCTTCATCAACAAGTAATGAATGATGAGAGGGTAACAAACAAAACAAAACATGGACCACATGATGTAGGCAAAACAAAGAAAGCATTGATTATTTGTAGTGCTTGGCAAAATTGTTGAAAGAAAAAAAAATAGTTGCTATATGCTGATAATTCAGAACATATAGCAAATAAAAAAAATGAAGGGATAGTTTGAATAAAAGACATTCTTCTCTAGTCAAAGGATTGTTTTTCAGTTTGACATCTGAATGCAAACCCCTGGCAAATAAGCATATCCAAACTATCCCTTTTACATCATTTGGGGATCAAGCCGATGACCAGAAGCAGAACAAACATGCCAAAAATCCAGTATTCCCATAAATACTAGCTCCATATAAATAACATTGATGACAAATCAGCAGAATTCGCAACAATCAGAATCAGAATCAGAAGAGCTTTATTATCAAGTATGTTTACACACACATGGAATTTGACTTGACGGCAGGAGCTTCCAGTGCAGAAGAAAGTACAGACATAGTGCAGACATACATAGGAATAACACAGTAGGGATGGAATATAACACTATGTAATTGTTTAAATAAATGTACAGATATGTTATAAGTGTGCAGATATGTTATTTACAAAGTGTGCAGTTTACAAGTGTACAAATTTTGGATTCTGTGTGTAAATATCTCAGTTGTGAGGGACGATGTATAATTATGAAAGTTTAATTGTTCAGGCTAAATATAGCCTGTGGGAAAAAAACTGTTCTTGTGCCTGGCTGTTCTGGTGATCGGTGCTCTGTAGTGCCGACCAGAAGGCAACAGTTCGAAGAGACAGTGGGCTGGGTGTCAGGGGTCCAGGGTGATTTTCTTAGCCCTTTTCCTCACTCTGGAGGTGTAAAGATCTTGATCTATCACCGACAATCCTCTCAGCAGTCCTGACTGTCCGTTGTAGTCTCTTGATGTCTGATTTGGTAGCTGAACCAAACAGCTACCAAATTGTTGTTTGTAAGCTGTTTGTAAGCAGACTCGTCACCAACCTTGATGAGGCCGATGACTGTAGTGTTGTCCGCAAACTTCAGGAGCTTGACAGAGGGGTCCTTTGAAGTACAATCATTCGTGTAGAGAGTGAAGAGCAGTGGGGAGAGTACACAACCCTGAGGGGCGCCAGTGCTGATGGTGATAGTCCTGGATGTGAGTTTGCCCAGCCTCACTAGCTGCTGCCTGTCTGTCAGGAAGCTGGTGATCCACTGACAGATGGAAGTCAACGCAACTGTTTTGAACGAGCGCACCTTTTTTTAACAACCAAAAAGTTTTGTTGTCTGTTGCGGAAGAACAGACGTTCCTTTCGTTGATAGCAGAGGGGCGGATCCAGCGAGAGCTTGATGGGGCGAAGCGGAATGAAAAAGTTATTTTTAGGAGTCGTGGTAGTAGAGGCGGTGCAACTATAACGACATGTGAATAATTCCGCCCACTCTAAAGCGGTACTGAACTGCAGTGGAAACGAAAACCGTGCCGAGCTGAACCGTGCCGTGCTATATTGAGCCGTGCTGAGTCATACCACACAGTGGAAAAGCGCCATTAAATTACTTCATGATCACAGACGCGAGAGTGACAGGTCTGTAATCATTAAGTCCAGTGATTTTGGGCTTTTTGGGGACCGAAATGTTGGTGGAGCGTTTGAAGCAGCAGGGAACTTCATACAGCTCTGGAGATCTGTTGAAGATCTGTGTGAAGATGGGGCCCAGTTGGTCAGCGCAGACTTTTAAACAGGCAGGTGAAACACTGTCTGGGCCTGAAGCTTTCTTAGATTTCTGCTTCCTGAAGACCCGGTTCACATCCTACACAGACCTTAAGCGCAGGTTGAATGGTGGGGGAGGGAGGGAGTTGCAGGGGGTGTAGGTGAATGTGTGAAGTGCAGATAAGGGCAGTAAATGATAAGAATGTCCTGGTAGGGATGCACATATCCTCACAGAAACTGATATATAAAGTTACAGTCTCTGTGAGCTCGTCCAGATCAGTGGCTGCAGATTCAAAACACTCCAAATCAGTGAGGCCGCTCTGCTTCATTAGTCCATCTTTTAACAGTCCTTAAAACAGGTTTAGCTGATTTCAGTTTCTGCCTGTAGGTCGGTATAAGATGAACCAAACAGTGATCAGAGCCTAAAGCTGCTCGTGGGACAGAGTGATATGCATCCTTTATTGCTGTGTAACAGTAATCCAATATATTGGTGTCTCTGGTGGGACATGTAATGTGCTGATTGTATTTTGGCAGTTCACGGGAGAGATTTGATTTGTTAACATCTTCAAGAATGATTAAAATAGAGTCTGGGTACCTTTGCTCCATTTCAGTTATTTGTTTGGCCAGCTGTTGCATCGCGGCGCTCACGCACACATCCGGAGGAATGTACACATTCGCCAAAATGAAAGAGGAAAACTCCCGCGGAGAGTAGAAAGGTTTACAGTTTATGAAGAGTGCCTCTAAGTTAGGACAGCACACCTTTTTTAGAGTTGTTACATCTGAACACATCAACTTTCGTTGATTTAGAAACACAATCCACCACCTCTCGTTTTCCCTTATACTAAAAAACCTTATACTCACTTCTTCTGTATGTGAAGCTGGATCATGAATGATTCGCGCGAACATAGCATTTATGTAGATCGGGGGTGCATTCTCTTCAAAAACAAACGTAATCCACTGCGTCTTCAGCTGCTCAGATGTCGGGAGTAAATGGCGACTGCTATGTTCATTATTACATCCAACAACAGAACACCTCAACCGCTTAGGAGTCATTCTTGTCTACATCTGCTCCGGCGGTGAAACAATGGCAGACTGATGACAGCTCACTCAGGGCGGGTCTAAGGTAAGACGGCAGTCCAGTCTGTGCTGAAACGCGACTGTCAATCAAACTATCGTGGGAGGGGCCTGTTTTATGACATCACACAGGCAGGCATCTGAGATCGGCTCGATTTAAGAAAGGGGTAAAGATTTTAGTAGATTAAAAAAAAACCACTGGGTGGATTTTTGTCATTATAGGATGGTTGTGTACACACACTGCCAACACACATTTCAGTTCAAACAACTTGTAAAAGTGCATGTAGCATCCAATGACCCCTTTAAGGAGTTTGTCTCCGGTAAAACTTATAGAAGAAGAATGACAAAACACAGAACAAACAAACAAAAACATCAGAAGAATTGCGGAGCTCAGCGTCGTGGCTGCCATTTACGGCGCCATCTTGTTGACTAAAGATCAATAGTGTACTTTACAGAAAACCAATTGTTTGCAAGGCTTAAAAATGTGGATAAAAATGTTCCAAAAAATGGCTGTAATTCTGTCATTTTAGTGTGAAAGTACTCTCAGAACTCTTCTTCTCTCCTATTTCTCAGAGCTGTATCTGAAACTAGAGGATGTGACGAGGAGGTTCTTACGGCCCTGCATCATGGATGTGAAGATCGGGAGGAGAAGTTACGACCCCTTTGCGTCAAAAGAAAAACGTGAAGAGCAGATTAGCAAGTATCCTCTGATGGAAGAGATCGGGTTCCTGTTATTGGGCATGAGGGTGAGACAGCGTGTGTGTGATTTATTAACTTTCCTTATTCTCATTATGCAGGATCTCCTATTTTTCTGCTGTTTTATCTCTGTATCCTCCTCTCGGTATCTGATTTTCTTATTACAAACTGTGAGGCTTCATAAACACAATATCAAGCTTCAGATCACCCGAGTGAGGGCTCTAAAGGTTCGGTGTCAGTGCTGCACAACAGAAATCCCCGTCTGCTGTCTAGTAAGGCTTGATCAATATTTAGAGCTTATCCGGACACTTGGTTAATTACCTCTGAGGAATACTGATAAGACATTTGATGATAAGATTGTGATGAAACCAGCGGTCAGTGCACACACTCCTCTGCTTTTGCTTTCTACACCTCATTGTGCTCCACTGGCTGTGAAGAAGGTCACATGAGAAGAGATAGATAAAATTAATTCAGTCATTGAGTTTAAAGATCGCCTGGTTCTGATGCATTTATCATGATACAAACAGTGACATTTTATGCTCATTCACTGAATTATAGATGACTGACTTTTTTGTTTGTTTTTTCTTTGTGGAAATCCCTATTAAAATGTGGCTAAAAAGTAAAATTGCAAAAATGGTACTCTTCCAAAATGCTTTCCAAAAACTGGTAATCATGAAATTAATTGAGATAATTTTATTGTATTGACACCCCTAATTTTTTAAATAAAAAAATTAATTTGCATATAATTTCTCAAAAATAAGAATTAAACTCTGCTTACTTGCCATTATATTTATTGTTAACTTTTAAGCTTTTAAAATCTTTTTCACTAAATGATATAAAGCTGAAGTGAAACAACACTAATATTAAATGAAAAACTTTAAAAAAATTAGGAAAAAAGAAGAAATGTTGCTTGCCAACTAAATGAAATAAGTTGAAGGTGAATTAAAAAAAACCAAAAAAAAATAATTCTAAATAAAAAAACGAATAAAAATAACAAAAACACATAACAAAATTACTAAAACCTAAACTAAAATAAAAATATAAAAATAAAATCTAATTCTAAATATGAATAAATACTATAATAATATGACAAATGATATTAAAATAACAATGTTCCTTGCAAAATACAAATTTGCTTGAAATTTGCTTTGACTGTACGGAAGATTTTCCTTGCCACTGTTGCTAATAATCTTTGTAAAACCACTTTTGAAAATATATTTATTCTTAAAGTAAATATAAAAAACGTCTGTGCCCTGTTAATCTGAAAACAACTATGATAAATATTATCAATGATAAATTACAGCTGAAAGGACATTTTGTCAATGATGTCACACTGGATAGCTCCGCTCCACACAGTTTTAATCAAACATGTTCTGATTGACTGTGCAGCATTTTTTTACAGTAAAGACAGACAAACCAACCCAGGAAACATTCCCGAATTTATAAGACAATCAAATTATTTGGATAAAGAAACTATGTTGCATTTTGCTATTGATGTTTTTTGCAGCCTTGTAAGTTCCACTAAGGTGTGATGCCTCCATCTCTTTTCCTCTGTTGTTTCCATCCCCCAGCCTCTCAGTAAATCATCTTCTCTCTCTGCTTTCTCTTCTTGTTTCTTTGCACCTAATTGGTTTCAGTGTCTCAAGGCTGGGAAATATTTGCCAGCTGCTGTCACCCTCTCCTTCCTCTCTCTCCTCTCTGTCTGTTGCTCTTGCTTTCCGTGTTATTTCAGCTTGTTTCATTTGTTTTGTAGTGTGGAAGGATCCATTCAGTGAGGTTCATCACATGCCAGTCTCTCCAGAGCTGTTCTAAACCTAGTGAGATGCCTATGTAGCCAGCATTTTAAGGCCTAGGCACAATCAAGATTGGACTGTTTTACCTAATATCTGTCTGTGTGGTGTATTTAGCTAAGGCTCATTTCTAGACTTCAAGGCAGGCCTGTTGTTTTGAATCAGTTTTCATGTTTCTTTCATGTTTCTCTTCATTGCAGTGTTTGTGATGGATCTCCTCTGATCTTCTTTCTCATCTTCTCACCTCAGGTGTACCAGATCAACTCAGACAGTTACATCACTCATGACCAGTTCTATGGACGCAGTCTCGGAAAGGACACTTTAAAATATGGTGTGACTCCAACTTTATTATTATTAGTTATTTTATGTTATGTGTATGGAATTATATTTCTTTCTTTCTTTCTTTCTTTCTTTCTTAAATTATAAAGCTAAAAAATGTTTTATTAGCTCCATATTAATTATTATTAATATTATTATTATTATTGTTGTTGTTGTTGTTATGTTTTTAATTGTGATTTCCAGGCTTTGAAACAAACAAACAACAACAACAACAACAACAATAATAATAATACTAATTATTATTATTATTATGCACAGGGATCTAACCATTTTATTTATTTATTTATTTATTCATTTATTTTAAATGTAATCATTATTTAAATTGTGATTTCCAGGCTTGGAAAGCAAGCAAATTATTATTATTATTATTATTATTATTATTATGTTTTTTAATTGTGATTTCCAGGCTTTGAAACAAACAAACAACAGCAGCAGCAGCAGCAGCAACAACAACAACAACAACAACAACAACAACAACAACAACAAATAATAATAACAATAATAATAATAATAATTATTATTATTATTATGCACAGGGCTCTAACCATTTTATTTATTTATTTTAAATGTAATGATTATTTAAATTGTGATTTCCAGGCTTGGAAAGCAAGCAAACAAACAAACAAACAAACAGCAACAATAAATAATAATAATAATAATAATAATAGTTGTTGTTGTTGTTGTTATTATTATATATTTTTAATAAGGGGAAGTCGTGGCCTAATGGTTAGAGAGTCAGTCTCATAACCCAAAGGTTGTGGGTTTGAGTCTCGTACCGGCAGGGATTGTAGGGGGGGGGAGGGAATGTACAGCACTCTCTTCCACCTTCAATACCACAACTGAGGTGCACAACAACAACAACAACAACAACAACAACAACAAATAATAACAATAATAATAATAATAATTATTATTATTATGCACAGGGCTCTAACCATTTTATTTATTTATTTTAAATGTAATGATTATTTAAATTGTGATTTCCAGGCTTGGAAAGCAAGCAAACAAACAGCAACAATAAATAATAATAATAATAATAATAGTTGTTGTTGTTGTTGTTGTTGTTATTATTATATATTTTTAATTTTTATAATTTTTAATTGTGGTTTCTAGACTTGGATAAATCAAGGAAAGAAAGAAAGAAAGAAAGAAAGAAAGAAAGAAAGAAAGAAAGAAAGAAAGAAAGAAAGAAAGAAAGAAAGAATTGGATAGATGTGAACTATGTTTATATTAATGCTAAAAATGAAGTTGCGGTTCACGTTGATCATGAAGCCACAAAAATGAATCTGTGAATTTGTATTCCCTTAGGCCTGAGCAGATTCTTCCACAATGGTCAAGAACTACAGAGGCATGCAGTTTCTCTGATTATCTCCAAAATCCGAAGCATTCTCCGCTGGTTTGAGATCCAGACTCAGCTGCATTTCTATGCCAGCTCTCTGCTGCTGGTGTATGAGGGCTCTCCTCACACAATCAATAAATCCAAACACAAGCCAGCGGATCCAGCAACAGAACATCAGCAGGGGGAGCCACAGAGCAAGGCTTTGAGCTTTCAGAGCAGTTTAACACACAGTCCTCCATACTGCCACGACATTCAGCATGAGAGAAACACCAACGGAAAACATGGAGGAAGTATAGAAGAGCAAGATGAGGAAATTGGAATGGGGGATAAGAAGCAGTTTGGACAGGAGGAGACAGTGAAGGTGAAGATGATCGATTTTGCTCATGTATTTCCCAGCGACAGTCCGGATGAGAGCTACATGTACGGACTCAGGAACCTTCTCTCAACTTTAGAACAAATACTGAAGGACTGACATCTGTCCATCTCTCTCTTCACTGGTCGGATCTTTCTGACTGTTGTTTTAAAGCCAGTGCAGATCATTTCACACACATACACAAACATTGCTGATGCCTTAATTTGGAAAATAGGTTTATTATATATTTATAGGGATATTTTTCTTAATCTTTTGAGATAAAAGAGTTCATTGTATTTTGAAAACACTTTCAGAACTTAAGACTCTGGATAAGAAAGGCTTGGCTGTCAACAACTAAAAATGTACTAAAAATATAGGTACTGTAGAACTCAGGGAAAAATAATTATGATATGATAAAGCAGTTCATCTGTGCTGTCAAAACACTTACAATGTGAGTTACTGATGTCTCATAATGACTCCACTTCTGATGCAACTATTGCTGTTTTTATTCTAAAAATGCACTTTGATTCCAAAGTAAATTATAGTTAGATTTATTTTTAACATTTATATTGACCTTATCACAGCCAAAAATATCCACATTAGTGTACCTTTTAAAAAAGTAATTTTTAATTTTATAATTTTTAATTGTGGTTTCTAGACTTGGATAAATCAAGGAAAGAAAGAAAGAAAGAAAGAAAGAAAGAAAGAAAGAAAGAATTGGATAGATGTGAACTATGTTTATATTAATGCTAAAAATGAAATTGCGGTTCACGTTGATCATGAAGCCACAAAAATGAATCTGTGAATTTGTATTCCCTTAGGCCTGAGCAGATTCTTCCACAATGGTCAAGAACTACAGAGGCATGCAGTTTCTCTGATTATCTCCAAAATCCGAAGCATTCTCCGCTGGTTTGAGATCCAGACTCAGCTGCATTTCTATGCCAGCTCTCTGCTGCTGGTGTATGAGGGCTCTCCTCACACAATCAATAAATCCAAACACAAGCCAGCGGATCCAGCAACAGAACATCAGCAGGGGGAGCCACAGAGCAAGGCTTTGAGCTTTCAGAGCAGTTTAACACACAGTCCTCCATACTGCCACGACATTCAGCATGAGAGAAACACCAACGGAAAACATGGAGGAAGTATAGAAGAGCAAGATGAGGAAATTGGAATGGGGGATAAGAAGCAGTTTGGACAGGAGGAGACAGTGAAGGTGAAGATGATCGATTTTGCTCATGTATTTCCCAGCGACAGTCCGGATGAGAGCTACATGTACGGACTCAGGAACCTTCTCTCAACTTTAGAACAAATACTGAAGGACTGACATCTGTCCATCTCTCTCTTCACTGGTCGGATCTTTCTGACTGTTGTTTTAAAGCCAGTGCAGATCATTTCACACACATACACAAACATTGCTGATGCCTTAATTTGGAAAATAGGTTTATTATATATTTATAGGGATATTTTTCTTAATCTTTTGAGATAAAAGAGTTCATTGTATTTTGAAAACACTTTCAGAATTTAAGACTCTGGATAAGAAAGGCTTGGCTGTCAACAACTAAAAATGTACTAAAAATATAGGTACTGTAGAACTCAGGGAAAAATAATTATGATATGATAAAGCAGTTCATCTGTGCTGTCAAAACACTTACAATGTGAGTTACTGATGTCTCATAATGACTCCACTTCTGATGCAACTATTGCTGTTTTTATTCTAAAAATGCACTTTGATTCCAAAGTAAATTATAGTTAGATTTATTTTTAACATTTATATTGACCTTATCACAGCCAAAAATATCCACATTAGTGTACCTTTTAAAAAAGTAATTTATTTTATTTGTATGAATATTTAAAATTAATTTTGGCTGATATAAATCTGTAAAAACAATGCATTTAAATTATATTAATTATATTATATTAAATTATATTAGTATATTTACTGAAAAACTTTAATGGTTTGAAAATAAGAAAAGTTCCCAAGAACATGCTCAATGTTTTTCAAATAAATGTAAAGTTATACAATGAATGCATTTTTTCTTTCTTTTTCTTTCTTTCTTTCTTTCTTTCTTTCTTTCTTTCTTTCTTTCTTTCTTTCTTTTACATCACTTACATTTGAAAAAAAATCACAACTCTTCATAAAAACATGTTACGAGAGAAAATACTTGATGTATTACATTTAATTGAACAAAACAGAATTAGCAATGAGCAGTCATTAAAGGAATAGTGCACCCAAAAATGAAAATTTGCTGAAACTTTACTCAACCTCAGGCCATAAAAGTGGCAGATGAGTTTGTTTCTTCATCAAAACAGATTTGGAGAAATGTAGCATTACATCACTTGCTAACCAATGGATCCTCTGCAGTGAATGGGTGCCGTCGGAATGAGAAAACCTCACAATAATCCACATGATTCCAGTTCATCACTTAAGGTCTTGTGAAGCCAAAAGCTGCATGTTTGTAATGAACAAATCCATCAAGACATTTTAAACTTCAAATAATTGCTTCCAGCTTAAATACCTACGAAGGTGCAGCTCCTGCACCTTTATGTATGACATTAAATATACAGAATTCATAACAATATGAAGTGTTAAAAATATCAGACTGATTTTATGCTGCTGACATTCTTTGTTGGTAAGATCCAACTAAGTAAATAGCATTTAAAAGCTACTTTTCACTTGACATTTTACCCCAAATGTCTCAAATCTCAGAACGTAATGTGTGTAAAAAGTAATGGACTAGAAATGTCTGTGAAGCATAAAATGCTTTAAAAGTTATACGAGCACTCCTGTGATAATATGGATAAATTTAGCTTTGCTGAAAGCTTCAAATTCTTCACTGAATTACAGTTCTCCCTAAAGCTTGCTTTGTGTTTTCATCTCTCTCATAAAAGTTTGTTATTATCCATGAACCATCTCTCACATGAGCAACAAAAAACACTTTCCCCAAACGGCTCTTATAATTAGAGACTGGACAAAACAGAAGGTTCTGTTTTTGAGATGTTCTGCGGTTTAATATAGATAAATCACAATGAGAACGCGAGATTGTTTATGTGCAAGCAAACAGGACAGAAAAACAATTACTTTAATTCTTTTCTGAAGCTTAAAGAATTAATTATTTATACTGATGTGCAAAAAAAAAAAAAAAGATTTATTTTTAATACTTGATCAAGCAAGCCAAGACGGAGACATCAGCAGCATAATAATCAAGTTGTTTAAAAATAGATTAAAACAGACAAATTAATGTAAATTCAATTTCATGTGGATAAAGCACACAGTTATTGCACCGCTGTCCTGCTGTGTTTCTTCATTTACACTTTTCTGAGTGTCATTCAATCCTCCTGCTCTTCTTTAAACTGCAGGGATTTTTCATTATTCCTAATTTGAATGTAATTTGAAATATAATTGGAACCTCAGAAGCAATTTCCCCATCAAACGCCCCCAGAAAAGCTCAGCTCTGAGGTGTCTATTAAAAAGGCTTAAAACAAAAATGGAATTTACCGGGTTAAGATCTTACTTTTTTTTAGCATTTGACAATGTTTTTATTTCTTTTTTCACTCGTCCTCAATTTCTGATCTCTTTGTATTTAAAGCACGTATGCATGTGTGAATCGGAAAACATTTCATATACTTTCTCACAGCTCTGAATTAATAAATCATATATGACATACATATTTGATACTTATATTTCTGGCTGTGTGATTTGTGCTCAATGTCTTATTGTGTGTGTGTATTTCCTCGCATGTTCATTTGGTGGAGCTGTGGCTCCTGTTTGGCCGCACTGATTGAAAGACTGGAAATGGAGAGAAACGCAGAACTCAGTCCATTGGCATCAGATCCGGGTAACAAAATTCAGTGGAAAACGAAAAAGCACTCCATGATATATGTAGCAGTGTATGTGATGTGCTTGTTATATTGCTTTCTATGTGTTGTTCTGAAAGAGCTCTTGATTATTTCGCTTTGGGATCCATGCTTTTTGTTTGAGATGAACTTGAGACAGAAAACACACTATTTTATTTGCACGGTTCTGTGCTGGACCCCTTTCTTCAGTATTGTGTGTTGGTATGTCCATTGATCATGCTGGAAGCGTTTAAATGTGATTTGTTGAAGTTAATCAATATATGGCGGGATCGGGAAGGAGGAAAAGAGAGAAACTAATTAAAACTGGAATTGATTATTTATTAAAATGACAAGCTTGATCTGATAGTGCTCAAACATGTGCATCCAAATCATTTATTTCATGAATCGAAGCAATACCATAATCATAATTCATTCTGATCTTTCGCCCCTCTGTTTACAGTTCAAAATGTTTGTACAATTATGTATGATGCATTTTATTGAAGCGATTATGATTTACTATGCCCCATCCTAGACATTGCCCTACATTGGATGTTTCTGCCAGCAGCATGTTTATAATGTGCTCTTAAAGTGGTCAATATTAAATGGATATTATTCCCTTGTGGGCTGGAATGAAGTGTGACATTGCAAAGCATTTATCAGATGTTTTTCTTTAAAGAAATTGTTCAATTACACTGACATGATTTGATTTGCCGTCTCCACACTTTAATCGAGGCAAATACCCCAAACTAAAAAAGAGAAGCCTTATTTGATAGTGATTACTGATATTACAAAATTAGTGTAAGTGAATTATGGCTGGGTATAGGCTATCGATATACATTCCCCAATGCAATGCACTTCTGATTAATTTAAGTAGGGCTATAGGCCTACATATAGTATTTCAGTTAAAATGTCATTTTCGCTTATATTTTGGGGAAAATAATATATTAAACTATTACTGGCGGTAATAAGAACTTGATATTGATTTCAGCTGACGGATTCAACTGACTCTTGAGTTTTTGAGTCTTTTTGAAGGAAAAAAGATCCAAATAAAAAGTCAGTTGTTCATGAATTGATTCTGATCCATGACATGCATGCGCTAAAAAATTTGTTTGTGAACTGGGCTCAGGCATCATTGCATGCATCCTCAGTACTAAAGTATTTTCTTGCCGTTATTTCACAGTAAACTCTGGGCTTATTTTACGGTAAAATATGACTTATTTAAATAGTGATAGCCTTGTTAAGGTATAGACTTATTAAAAGTGATTAGGATATAAGTGATATACTTATAAAACAACAGCTAAAACCAGCTTAAGTTGGAAGTGGTTTTAGCTGGTCTCCTAGTCTGGCTAAGCTGGTGTTCAGTTGGTCTTAGCTGGTTGGTCAGCTGGTCTCCTGCCCTGAGCAGCTAAAGAAGTGGTCAAAACCCCTCTAAAACCAACCACAAACCAGCAATGACCAGGCTGGAAGACCAGCTAAAGCCAGCCAACCAGATTAGGCTGTTAAAGTTAACAAATTACTAGGTACTGTAGGCTTTATGAGCTAAAGCAATACATAGGCCTATATTAATTAATTTTAATTTAGTAGCAACATTCCCTGCTGTATCTGAATCCACTGCAGGGTCATTCTGTGTCAACTCAACCAGAGATCCCCGGCTCAAATTTTTTATTTTGCTAATATATTTTCTGAAGAAAGACAGACACGACTAGTGATGAAAGCCAAAATATTAAATGTCATGGATGAATATTTACTGAGTAATCCACTATTTTGTAGAGGGCGGTCAAAATGGCAATTTTCACCTGAGATTCAAAGCCAAATTACAGGGCGGTAAAAATTACTTCAGAAAGATGGCAGCATCATAATGTTATTTTTACACAGATATTGGTAGGTATGTTAGTAAAATCTGTTGACTTTAGCAATCTTTGTTGCATTATGTGCCAATGGTGACCATTCAGAAATGGGGAAACAGCACTTTTCATGTTTTTTTCTCCAAAGTTTGCATGCCTGTAACTCAAGAAGCATTAAAGATGTCTTAATGCCCTTTTAGATATTGGGTCTTAACAAACTTCCCTTTTGGCATTTTCATTTTTAAGGCCCTATATGGTTTGGTTCCAGAGATATTGGAATTTCAATATGGCTCCAGGAGTAAATTGTTCAAATGTACACATTTTCAGTGGTCAAAAACCAAATGTGGGTCAATTTGCAAAAATATGGTACTTCTTTTCTTTTAAAGAGGAATGTCTGAAAAACAAATAATGTTGAAACTAGAGATTTATCTCGTTTACTTCTGTCAAAATAACTGCATTGAACATATCTGTCTGAGTGTCATAAATGTTCTTTTTCCAAAGTTTGCATGCCTATAACTCAAGAAGTATTAAAGATATCGCAATATGATTTTAGATTCTAGTTCTTAATAAACTTTTCTTTTGGGATCTAAGATGCCAAAAGGGAAGTTTGTGAAGACCCAATATTTAAAAGGACATTAAGATATCTTTAGTAGGTCTTGAGTCACAGGCATGCAAACTTTGGAGAAAAAACTTGAAAAGTGTTGTTTCCCCATTTTTTAATGGCCACCATTGGCACATAATGCAACAAAGATTGCAATCTCTGTGTAAAAATAACATTATGATGTTGCCATCTTTCTGAAGTCATTTTTACCCCCACTGTAATTTGCCTCTGAATCTCAGATGAAAATTGCCATTTTGACCCCCTTCTGCAAAATAGTGGATTACTCAGTAAATATTTATCCATGACATTTAATATTTTGACTTTCATCACTATACATGTCTGTCTTTCTTCAGAAAAAATACTAGCAAAATCAAAAATATGAGCCGGGTAATTTTTTGAAATTTGGTTGATTTGACACAGAATGACCCTGCATGAATTTCTGAAGATTTGAAAATTATATTTGAATTTGAACTCCTGTTTAAATCTATCCAAACATAAGTTTTTCT